TTTCTAGACACACCTAGAAAAATTTAAGTTTTCTATTCAAAACTTTCTAAGACATACATGAATTTACATATTGGCGCGTTTTGAAATTTGGCAGTTTTATTGGAGTGATAATAACGCCAAATGTGGTTTAAGCACTTTGTTAAAATTGTTTGAAAGTATGAACGATGACCTTTTTTCCTCTTGTCTGCAATGAAAAAAAAATAGGTTGCTATGAATTAAGTTCGCTAAGTAAATTATTCTTGGCGCAAACCGAAAAAAATGGGCCAAGATAAATTTTTAAATGTCTCCGTAAATTTCGCACCAAATTGTACGAAATTTAATATTTAGGCATAATGAGTCGTAGAATCGAAATATGGAAAAAACTTTCCATGTCATTTCAGAAAAAGTCCGATTTTGTCATAAAATACCTATGTTAGAATAATGCTATATATAAATCTAATATACATCCTAAGTCGCGCTTTCGAGACATGAAAACGCAGTTTGAATTTCGTCAATCGGCCCAGTAGAACGGGAGATACAGAACTGCCCTTCCCCTCCGTAGTGTATGTAGCTTATAGAGAATGACGGAGAAATCACAAGATAATTATTGTATTAATGCAGAAGATTTAATTAATTAATCCTAAAATAAAAGAATAATATAAGACTGATTTAACGAAGCTCTTTATTAACTGAATTAATTTTACCAATTACCTGACATTTAATTATTAAAAATTAAATGACCGCCATTCCTTGAAATTTCATTATTAAAAAATTAAAGAAGTATTCAAAATATTTTATCTTGGGATTAATTGTTGCTGCAACTGCTCAAAATCAAAACTTCATGAGAATTTGTTTTCCTTATATGTGTTAATGCATGCATTACATCCACTTTTAATTCACAACAATTTTAAGTACTTATTTGAAAATGCGGGTATAACAATACTTTTGTATATAAATGTGTATTAAAACACTTATTAACTTTCAGAAATTTGTATATTTAAGGTTAGTTGGTTAGTTATTTAGTTATGGTAAATATACGAAGGCTGTTTAGGAAGTCTGTTTATGACACTGACTGAGATAAGTGTGGAGATGATGCTTACAAGTGTATGCTCGTTTAATAATTTTTTTGCACTTGCATTTTTCATTTTCGATTGTCTTGCAAATTTCCATAGCGTCTTTTCTTTAACGAAATCTTAGAATTGTTATTGATTTGAATGCAATAAATAGATTGCTTGAAAGTTATGGATTGAAATTAAAGAATCTCAGCTCAAAAGGTTTTATGAATCTATTTATTACGATTAAGCTAACAGCATTGTTAATCAAGGATTATTCTCTCAAACAATAATTTAGCTTTCATACCTCCAACTGGCTTTGCTTTTGATTGTCATTTCTGTGTTTATTTCAAAATATTTAAGTTCAAATTTCATTAGTCTTAATGGAGAAATACATCTATTTGTTACAAAAATTAATGTTCTTAGTAAGTTAAAGTCATATTCAAAGGTCTTATTAAAACCTAATTCATTGACTAGCGCAGTAATCAAGCAAAATTCTTCAATCATAGCTTTTATTATTGTAATAATCTTCATTTGCGTTCTTTAGCGTTTTGGAAACACTTTCGATAGCTTTTCATTAGCCCGTTTTATAAGCAATATTCAGTAAACCATTTTTTTAAATGCTATTGCGATATTACCGATAATATTTCTGACGGAATGCTTTGAAGCCCTTGTAATAATATTCTGTTTATAAATTTCTCAAGTGTTCTGGACGATTTCTTCGTATTAATTTTACGGTCACGATATTTTTTCCCACGTTCGTCTTTAATGAATCCTCTGACTGAGTATGAGAGTAAGCACCTTATCTAGAAAGCTAATGCAGGATTAAGGGGGGGTATCTTTTCAGGCGTTAAATGTCAGTCCCTCCACATATCTGATAATTACTTTTCGTATCATGAAAGCATCAAAATACAAAATCTCACTAAATGTTTTTGCAATCGAATATTTTTGAGATCACGGGACTGAATTAAATACACAAATAGTGTTTATTAATATCCACTCGCAGATTTCTGAAATGGGTCCTCACCTTGCCAAAACTATTGGAGAATCCTCGTCTTAAAACACAGAATGATTTATACTTTCTTAAAATTGTTTATTAATTTGAAGGCCCCTTACAACGCGAGGCTCCTCGAGATTGCGACTGGCGCGACGCTATAAATATGCCTCTAACATCATAAGTGGAATATTGCTCACTAATACCCTAACTAATAATACACTTTTATTCCGAAAGTTTCTGCACCGTTATAGTTACGTCGTTGTCTACCAGAATACCACGCACAGATTTGATTCAGAAAGTACGGTTTTTAATTGAGAAGGTAAGAAATACTCCAGAGAAAATTCGCACTGCATTGTGGACTACAGTACTCAATAGGTAAAAAATGTATTTATAGGCTGAACCATGCATGATACAACACACGTCCTTCGTGAAGGACTTCGTATGGAAACTTGGTTCATATTCAAAACCACTAAAAGCAACTACGCAGCCAACTCATTCGCCTGGGATCGAGCCCGTGTCGAACTCCCAGCATCCTGTGGTTTTAATCATTCGAACACTGCTAATGATTAGCATTACATTTAATTAGATTTTAATTAATAAAGGTTACAAAATATTTTTTAATGCAAACCCTAGGTTAGAACTATTAATATTTACTCCCATATTAGGGCCGTTTGATGAATATAACTAACTAGAAAGACTGAAAACGCGTTTGAAGAAAAGTTAGATAGTAGCGGATTCTTCAAAATAACGATTTTGATGCATTGATATCTAGTAGTTAAACAGAAATCAGAAAATCATGGTCTACAAAAGCAACATATGAGGATTTTGTTGAAATTTAATGATAACATTATACTTAAGTTAATGTGATGATTTTATATCTGTGTGATGACTTTATAAATGTATAAGGTATTTCTCCCGCCTTCGTGGTGTAGTGGGTTCTGCACGCTGGGCCGGTATTTCCAGAGGCCCGTGTTTCGATTCCCGGCGAAAGCGTTTGCTCATTTTTCATCTTGCCTGCTCCCCCCAAAAAACTAATGTCTCTACAGTGGCGCCTGAACTAAAAGGGTGTTGCATGATGATTCTCCTCACCCAGGATTTGGCGACTGGGTCCCCTAAAAAATCCTCAGTCGCCTTTTTAAAGGGGGAGTATATAAGGTATTTCTCCCGCCTTCCTAGCGTGCCTTCGTGGTGTAGTGGTTCTGCACGCTGAGCCGGTATTTCGAAAGGTCCGTGGTTCGATTCCCAGCGAAGGGGATTGCTCAGTTTCATCTTGGCTGCTTCCAAAAAATACCTAATGTCTCTACAAATGTATAATGATTTTCTGTTTAAGAAAGCATTTCATGTGCAGAAGTACTTTGTACAAATATTTTTTTTTTATCAAAAATCATTACATAGAGGAAAAAGCATAAAACGAAAACTTGAGAACGCAGTGAGAAAAATAACTTTCATGAAACTTTAGAGCTCAATCCTTACTGCGTTTCGATTCTCTGCTCATACTTGGAACTAGAAATAATGATCCATCTAGAAATATCACTTGCTCTCCGTTTATATTAATAAAGCAATCGAGAACATTTTTCGTATAATATGCCGACTCAGCATGAGTCCAAATTTGGAGAAGACTCTACCAAATTCCGACGAGCGGTCAGGACTTTTTCTTAATTTATGTACAGTGAATTTGACAGGTTTAATAAGTTCTAGATATTTACGGATACAATTTTAAAAGTTTATAGAACGTGCGTTTAGTATGAAATCTTTATCTCCTTGCAAATATTTATTAAGAATATATCTGCGAATTTTTCATACAGAAATATTGAGCAATTTTAGCTCATTAAAGCGTAATGGATATTTTAATAAACAGTCATTTTGTAGTCAAAGGCCTTTGTAAAAATTTACAGTTTTATACTTGAGTTTGGTTTTCCATAACATTTTCTATTTTATTTTAAGAAAATATGTAAATGAAACTATAATAATAGGATCAAAACTTAAGGAAATAAATATTATGTTTACATTTTTGAAACGCCTAACAGAAATAATTCTAAGATATTAAATTAGTTAAGAACACTTAAAAACATCGAATAAAAAGCCGTATTCTGAGAGTAAATTGGCGCATAAGATTATAAGAGAGGGCTATAAGAAGTAGTAAAGAAGTTTTACATCACTTCATGCCATGAAAAAGCGAAGAAAGGTATTATTACTACTTACTTTTTTCCCTTTATATTTGTTCTTTAATGTAACTTTCATACTTGTTTTCGATGTTATGCAAATATTTCCTTATAAATTGTTTTAATATTATTAAAATTTTATGCGTGTTATTTATGAAAAAATTAATAAGCAATTATAAATGTAAAGCAAGAAGAAATAATATCATTAATACTATATTAATTGAAGATTATTTGCTAAGTTTTCAGGCTTTGGATAGATAATTCTTTATTCCATAATGTAGGATATCAATAAAAGCACAGTGAATATCTACTGTACAAATTTATCATTGTTAAGGCATATTTATATGGTCTCTCTCTATATACGTATATTAAAGGACAGAGATAAAAATGTAAGTACTATATAAAGCTAAGAAAATGCAACATCATGATGAACTATTATGAATAAGGTCCCTTTTCCCAAATGCATGATTTTCGTACAGATACGTCATCTAAACTTTAAAAATACATTTATAACTAAAAAGGTATCTTAAATACTTTCACTCTAACTAATTTTAGTTAATTTTAGCTAATTTATTATCATACAGTATTCTACAGGATTAAGATTTAAAATTAAAAAAAATTTTCAGATTAAAGTGTAATAGTAATTCAGATTTGGTAGTGATAAGAATTAATTTTTTTTTTAAGCTGAGCATTCAGAAGTTTTAGTGCTCTGGCATTAAATTCCTGATTTATTAAGCTCGAAACCTGGAGTAATATAAAATAATTGGTATATAGGTATTAAGTAATATATGGGTAACGTAATAAACTTACCATTACGTTTTCCTAAATCCAAGAACTGGACTGAAAGACAAAAAGATATGAGTTAAAATTTTCATGCGAATTTTTCAGCATTTTCAAAATAAATAATAAACAATTTAAAATAAACATTTTTTGAAATTCATCCATATTTTTAAACTCATATCATATTTTTAAACTTCATATTTTTAAAAGAAATATTTACAAATAGTTATATAAAATATATATAAAACAATAAAATAATATAAAAAATGTAATATAAAACAAACACACTTGGTTTAGTTTAACTAAGATTTTCATGATCACGCTATTATTCTATAAGGTATTTCTCCCACCTTCTTGTCATGCCTTCGGGGTGTGGTGATCTGCACGCTGGGCGCGTATTCCAGAGGTCCGCGGTTCGATTCAAGGCGAAGGCGTGAAGGCGTTGCATATTTTTCATCTTTCCTGCTTTCAAAGAATACCTAATGTCTCTACAATTGAATGAAAATATATATTCCATTTTTGCATAAAACGTATTTCAATTTGTGTCCCGTACATTATACATTTTGAATAAAGTAAGAACAATATGGCTGTGCTTTTAAATCTACTACGCGAGAACTTAGCGAACGACTATCTTGAATGCATTAAGTAATGAAATAAATAAAGTCAGCTAAAACTTTCAAATAATTGCAACAAGATGTTTTAGTATTATTTACACAATTCTTTGAGATAACAGAAGGTTGGGCAAAATTTCCTGGCTTCAAAAGCTTGTTAATTGCAGTATTCTCTCCCTCTTTTTTAAAGCCGTAAAATTCATATCCCAGTTTCTAAAATAAAGGTAAGCTGATTGCCATTGCTTATGTGAAATGAATACAAACTTGATAAAATAACAAAACCTACTCGTAATAATCCTCTGCCATTTTTGTCTCAAAGAAAAACTCAAAGAGAAAATTTCTATTATAAAAAAGTTAAAAGAAAACCATAATTTTATATCACCTTACGGAGTATCTTAAAGAAATAACAACTCTGTACAACTAATGCTTAGCGTAGAGAAAGTTTGGAAGTCTGATCACTTTTATGTAAGAAATTTTTAAATATTCTTTAATGCGTTTCATGTTATGTATTAAAAACTGTGCGTATGGTAATTCTTTTAAGTTTCCGAATTCCTCTAATTTCATTCAAAATCCAGGATTTTAATTGCAAACTTTTAATCAGATTAAGTTTCAAATATTTGAAAAGTACATTTTTAACTGATTTATTTATTATCACTGGCAAATATATTTTTAGCATGTTTTGAATAAAACATTAGTGTCAGATTTCTGTAATTTCATTTAGTCCAATATTACATAATAAACTAGAATTATAAATTCATTCTACTGCAGACTTGAGAAAGAAATTTTTACTTGCAGTCTAATGAATAAATAAAAATATATTTGAGAAATATTCGTGATCGTCTAGAAGGTACAAAATTTTGAAATGCATTTCAGTGTTCTGGACATGCTAGAAGCTCTTTACGAATACATTCGTACAGAATGTAGTTTTAAATTTACGAGAGTTAGAAAGCATATAAAAATTATGTTACCGGTTTTGATTTTTTAATCCGAGGAAAATAAAATACGGAAGACAAAAAACAGGTAAGGATGCAATTTATTTCTTCAGTATTATATCTAAATTCGAATACATTTTCTAGGCTTTACTATAGAAAGGAAAGAAAAAGGAAAAAGTAAATAATTAAATAGAAATAAAAATTTTTTAAATGAAATGAAACATGTAATTGCTTTGAAAAGAAAAAAACGTATTTTGGGAAATATCCTTTTGAGATATAAAGTGGAGATAAATATCTCTCTATTTTGATTCCCTCCTTCAATATTGAAGTAATGCGAGTTGAATGAAATTGATTCCGCATATATATTTTAAGTTTACTCTTCAAAACTGAACATATTTTCTGTTTAAAAAATAAATCAAATCTTCGAGGCATTGCATTTTATACTGATGTTTCTATAAAATTCCTTTTTAAAATTTAGAAATGTTTTTTTGAGTAGTTGTAACCTTTAATTATGTGTTCCTGCTTCTTCAGGAAGCTCTCTGGAGCTTAAGTTCAACGAAATGGAAGAAAAAAAAATTCAACCAATATAAAATTCGAAATAACGAGGCCTCCTACAAACAGCGCTTGAAAAATATCTATTAGTCTATGTAGACATATATATCAATATATATAACAACGCATAATGAAGTTTATTATATACATTAATGATGCTAACAAATATTCTATCATTCGTATAAAGCTAATTTAAAGCAAGTTTAAATTTAAATTAAAAATTATGAAAATTTAATTGTATACAAATAAAAGAGGAATTATTACTACGAACTAATTTGCAATATCATTCAAATTCAGAAAGCATATGTAAATTAAGTGAAAGCATCTAAAAACCATGAAAAAATACTTAATAATCCAAAAAATTTCAAAGAAATTTTAAGACTAAAATTAATTTGCATAAAGTGAATAGTTGTTAAGCAGCAGAAGACAGATCTTTTCAAGGTGAAGCTGCCTCCAAACCTAACTCTTCAATTACTCAATTCATGTTTCGTCATCCATATAGGCATCTGTATAGTAATATTCAAAACCAAAAGTAAAAACAAAACTGTGAATTGCTTAAAAAAGGAATTTTACTATTAAAGTGTAGAGACATTAGGTATTTTTGGAAGCAGACGTATAGGGCAGATTGGTCTATATGCTCGTAGACCTGTCAGATGCGTTCCACTTGCTGCAACTCACTGTCGCCTGCGGTTAGCCTGGAGTAGAGAGCATGCATTGTGGACACCGCAACAGTGGGCTTGTGTGATGTTTTCTGACGAGTCCAGGTTTAGCTTGCAGTCTGATTCTCGCCGGACTTTCATATGGAGAGCTCCAGGTACCTGTTACCACCAAGAAAACATCATTGAACGACACCGTTACGGTGGTGCAGGAGTGCTCGTTTGGGGTGGAATTATTCTGGGTTCCAGAACCGACCTGCATGTTCAAATTGGAACCATGACAAGCCAAATCTATCGGGACGTCATTCTGGAACAACATGTACATTTGTTTCGGGGCGCCATGGACGCACAATTTGTTTTTATGGATGACAACGCCCGTCCTCACCGTGCAAACATCGTAAGCGAATGCCTTCAATCGGAGGATATCACCTATATAGACTGGCCAGCATTCTCGCCGGACTTGAATCCAGTAGAGCACGTGTAGGACATGCCTGGCCGACGAGTTCCAGCCCGTCAACCTCCTCCTACATGTCTACCGGAACTTCGGAGAGCATTGCTTTTTGAGTGGTGCAATATCCCCCAAGATCAGATCGATAATTTGATACTCAGCATGCCTCAGCGTTGTACGGACTGTATTGCATCGTCTGGGAGACATACAATGTATTAACAACCATACCAACCATGTAATATTGGTTTTTTGTAAATAGTTTTTTTTTGTAATTTACTCCAGGGAGAAAAAATCGCTAATTTTTTTAATAATATCAAACATATAGCATCTGTTTTTGCTTTTTACCTTTTGTTTAATAAATAAGATTTACAAATAAGTCAAATTTGTTTTGCTTCTAACTCTTTCTTTGCCTGATTTTGTATTATCCTTAATTTATGGACATGAGTGTATTTCTCTTTCCTGCTGCGGGATTGTAGAAGAGGACTAAGCTTTATGCTTCGAAAGTTTTGGGAAAATTATTTTCATATCGTCACCAGCTTCAAAATATTCGATATAGCCTAGGATGGGTCAGTATTCCCTGAATTTACGTGTGCAAGGTGAAGTTGGATAGTGCAGAGGCTCCTGAATGGGGTCATTAAGGATACCCGCAACTCTGCTTGGAGAAAAATGTGACTTAGTTGCGTTGGGATGAAAGAAAGCAAGCAAAAAGCTAGCAGTTCTGAAACATTGTGATATAAAACATCATAATAAAAAAAATAAAACACTTATAAACCATCGCAGATACCTGTTTTCGGACTTTAAAAGTTTTAAATGCATGTTCACAATACTAAGCCATTTTAATAAAAGAGACTAATTAAATAATGATCTTTAATAGTTAATTATGTAAGTTTAAAATACTGTTATGTGTTTTAAATTAGTATCAATTTTCCATTCATTTCATGTTTTTGTATGCTTAAGCTTCCTTTTTCCTTTTTCAGCAAAAATTTACTAGTCGATTCAAAATTATGAAATTTAGAGATAAAAATATTCCTCATTCTAGCCTGCGTTCACAAATCATTACGTGAACATGCATTTAAACTTTTTAAAAATCTGAAAATATATGTCTGCAATGTTATCATCATGCTATGATTTGTAGTGTTTTAATTTTACCACGATATTTTTTAAGACAATGTTTTAGTACTACGAAGGTTTTGAACCGTTTTATTTTCTAAGACGATACTTTAATCACGATGTTTTAGAAACTGCAATATTTTCTCCTTACTTTGTACGACGATATTTTCCCTTGTGTTTTCGTCTTCTATATTTTCGCCCTGTAACCAACCAATGTACCACTGTACAACCAATGTATTACTTTTCCTTCCAGCATCAGAAATGTTGCTTTCAAATATAGCACTAAGTGAATACAAAAACGATGCATTACAAAGAAATTGTCTTTTAATTTCTTAAAGGAATCATATGAAATGATATAAAACGTAGCACAAAATTAAACTAGGATAAAGCCGAATGTTGCTTATCTTAAATAAAAATGTAGATCACTTTTCTAAAACAAATTACAATTTTCCGTAACGTATATTTCTGGATTTCGTAAACAGCAAGAGGGAATTTCTTGTAGGGATGATTAGATGATATCAAAATCACGAGAGGGAAAAACTACTTCACATGTAAGCAGGACATGTAAGGCTTCTACAAAGGAAGCTTGGGGATAGTAAAGGGTTAATTTTCTACGTATCTTAAGAAAAAGAAAATAAAAATTTCGGCTCTATTCGGAAAACGTTCGACTTATCGAATATTTTTGATTTTCGATTTAAAGAAATATGACATGAATTATATTTCATGTCATATTTCTTTAAATTCTCGACAT